TTCTCCAGCGTCTCGTCGTCGAAGGTGCGATAGATCTGTGCGGGGCGAGAGACCAGGAACAGGAACCAGCAACAGTCACATCAATTGCAGTTGAACATTTTTAATTTAAATAAATTGTTAAGCCAATCAGATCGGCCATTGCGTATGCACATAAAATAATAATAATATTCATGAGTGGCCCCGCCCGCCCCTCTGCTTACCTGCATGATTTTTTCGTAGCCAATTTCGTTCTCATACACTTGCTCCTTGATAAATTTGCGATTGCAGTTGCAGTACAGTGTCGAAATGTGCACAAATGACTGCGGGACGGCCGGCCGAGCGGTGCGTCGGTGGTGCGCATGGGATGGTGTTGAAGGCAGCGGGCGGCCAGTTGGCGGCAGCATGTCGAATGTTGATTGAATTGTGTTGAAATTGTTTGCACGCCGCAGCCGTAAAAATATGCAACAACATAAAAAGCAGTATATATGTAGTATATTAAAAAAAATAAACACAAATGCACACACACACACACAGTCAAACCCCACTCGCAGGCTCAGCTGTAAATATTAAAATGCATACACAAATATTTCGCAAGCAGACATGCGAAATATGCATGTCGGTTACTTAAATGCGATATGCGAATATTTGAATTAATTTTACGTCGAAGAAAAAAATCAAAAGGAATCCATGACAACCGCAATTTGTAAATACTCTGAACGGATTAACTGCCAAATGCAACTCGGGCATTAACAAATAGATTTTTTATATTAATTGGAGTTTTTAAGCATTTCGCTCTTATGGTCTGGTGTAAAAATGTTCACAAAGAAAGGGAACAGCTGCGTGGAGTCTAGGAAACTCGTATAGGTCTGCATGGGTAGCTATGGTTGGTATGGAAACATACTTCTATGGACAGCTCATATGCTGAATGGGACTACTTTATCGTAAAGTAAAGCTATATATGTAGATAGCTCTTTATAGGCCTTGCCTTAAAAATTAATCAGGTTCTCTTCTAAACTTTGACATGTCTCAGTTCTTATAGTTTTATAGCATATCTATATATCTAATATACTCGACTTAATGCATATGTACATCCATCTAAATTTTTTTTTAGCTCTTAAGAACTTGCATGCTCAGACATGTCCAAGCTGCAGCTTAGACACTTGCTTACCTTCAACTGCTTCATTTGCATGGCCAAATCGAGTATCTTCTTGGTGCCCAGGACATTAATGTCAATAGCATCGCTTAGTTTCTCATTGAATTTCACCGAGGCGACAACATTGAAGACAATCTAAGAAGAAGAGTACCAAAACAAAGGAAACACAAGTAATGCATATTAAAATTGAGAAATGCCAGCAATAGCAACAAGAGCCGAGCACAACTAAACAACTGGGAGCACATGCAATATGCACGAGAGTTGCATGCAAAACAGAAGCGCTTTGCATGCAGTTGGTTTTTTTTTTTTTTTTTTTTTGGCTCACACCGTTCGCTGCATTCGCTGATAACCTCAAAGTCAGCACGGACACGGGACACAGGACATGGGACACGGGACATGGCTACAAATGCAACTGCTGCATTGAACATCGACAACAAAGCAATTTTAGTTTTAAAACAGTGCCAGGACTAAACACTGCGAGTCCTGCCGACTGCACCGCATGTGTGTGTGAGTGACTTGTATGCAAAATGTTTTGCAAGCAGCAAGAAAAAAGAATGAAACGAAATAGAGCCAAAAAGGAAAATAAAATAAATAGAAACGCCGAACGGATGCGACTGGCAGGACAATGGCTCGCGCACGCCAAACACTTGAAGCATGCACTGGAATTTTCATTTATTTATATATTGTTTTTTATAACCGGCAGCAGCAGCAGCAGCACTACTAACAGCAGCCGCAGGACTAGCAAAACCAGCAGGCACACACATTTTCATAGGACGATGTGCCGAGTCTCAATTTTTGTTGAAAAGTAGAAAAAAAATATATATATATATATATCTGTCTCTCTCTATATAAATATATACATATATTCGTGCCTTGTCTTCGCCGAGTGTGCGGAGAAAAATCATAAAAAGGAAATAAACTGAGTGCATGCTGTTGTCGTAAACATGGCGCCTGCCTTTGGCAGGCAGTGTAACGTAACGTAATGCACAAACAGACAGACAGACGGACGGACAGACAAATAGATAGTCAAGCAGACAGTTGGACAGGTGGACAGATATCCAAACAGATAGGCAAACATACACACACACACACACACACATTCGCACACACACTCGCACACAAAAGTTTTCACACAAAAGTCTATTGATTGAATTGCCAACAGAAACAGGCAACAAAGCACTCGAACCTGCAATCGGAATAGCAACGGCGGCAATACTCACCTGGACCTCAGACGAGAGCATTGCACGGTCGGCGGCATCAATGTCCAGGTCGATGGCACCGTAATCAGCGCGTATCGGATGCACCTTCTCCAACAGCTCCGGCCGCTCAGCGCGCATTATATTGAATATCTGCAATAGCAACGAACATCAGCAGCAGGAGCAGCAACAGCAGCAACAGCAGCAGCAGGAGCAGGTTTATTGAGTTTGCATTGTTCGGGGATGGCAAAATGGGGGCGTGCAGCGTTGCGGCAGCTCATTTCCCCCAGTTTTGCTATTGACTTACCGACTCATTGAAGAATCCCTGCAAGCGCTCCTGCACGCTCATGTTGTCCTTGCTGCGTATCAGCATGTAAATTTTACGCAAACCAAAGGCGCGCAACAATTTCTCGGTTAGCACTTTGCCCACAAAGCCCGTGCCGCCCGTAATGAGCACCGTGGCATCTCTATAGAAGTCGGTAACTGGTGTTGCACTGGGCGTGCCCATCAGACCCCCATCAATGCCCCCAGCATCAGAAGCATCCACATCAATGTTTGCCGTGCCACTGGCAGTGCCGGTGCCGGTGCCGGTACTCATTGTTGTGAATGCCTCACAGAACTCGGTGTTGCTGCCACTGCTGCGGCGCGAGGAGCTAGTCGAAGAGAAGGCCTTGCGAGGCACTGCAATTGGCATAGACACCTCATACATGTGATTCATCTGATGGAATTAGTTTGCTTAGCACTTCAGCTACCTGGTCTACGCACCTTTATTCACATTTGATTCACGCATTTTCCTTGCCACTCGACACAGAACTGAACCACTCGGCACGAGGTCTGGAAACACTTTGAAAAGTTCACTTTCGTTTTCTAATTGTTCAAAATATGATATATATATATATATATATATATATATATAGATATAGAAGCGGATGTCAATCAATAACTGGCAGTCGCTGCGCCTTTGAGATTTTCCCATCGTATGTCAATTATTTACCAAAACTCAATTATATTTGATGTATATACTTATTGCTGTGAGTGTGCATGTGTGCATGTGTGTGTGCGTAAGTCTGTGTATGAGTTATTCAGCTTAATGCTGTTGAGGTCTCTGGCTGACATTGCGGTTGCAGTTGACCTGCTGACCTGCACTGTTCACACACACACACACACACACACACACACACGCACATGCATACATTAGCACTGACAGTTAAAGCAACTTACCCTTGCGTTAGCCCTCCCCACCCCGCTCTCGTTAGACGCCCTTTCAGCCATTTTCAACATTGTTAATTATTCAATTATCAACAGCCAATGCGGCCTTCTTCCTGCTGCCAGGACACTCACTGCTCACTGCGCTCATGCAGTCAAGTGTCCATCTATGTGAAAATAAACGTTGCATGCGTGTTCCCATGAGTGTGTGTCTGTCTGTGTGTGTGTGTGTGCCTCGGTGAGAGCGAGAGTGTAAGCTTAAATGCTGCCACGGCCGGCATATACATGTGCATACATGTCCATGTCCAGTCAGTCAGTCAGTTCATTGCGTGTTGTACAGTGTATATCTAACGCTTACTGTGTATGGGTGTCTATGTCTGTGTGTGTGCGCCTTAGAGTGCACCATATGTTGTTTAGTTGCATGTGGCATAAAAAGAAATGAACTAGAACCACATATGCCAACTATTGCGTGCCACTGTTGTTGCTCGTGTTGTTGTTGTTGTTGTTGCTGTTGCTGTCATAGTTTGTTAGTGTTTGTCAACCAGAATATCTCGCTTTGTTTGCCCGGCGATTAGGGTAGTTTAATCATAACACACGCGACCTTTGTATATGAATTTCATGATCTAAATTTAATTTTAAAAGGAAAATATTCCAAAAAAAGAATAAAAACTTTATTGTTAGCAAAGTTAGAGAAGTAGATCATCTCAGCAGCAGAGTATTTAATTTTACAGACAGAAAAGCAATATAAGAGCAGCAGAAAATACTCCTCTGTGTCCCTAAATAATCCCCAGAAAAAAACTAATTCTAAAAGAGGTCTGACCTTAAGTTTGGTGGAATTCGAAGTCGAGTTTGAGCTGGGGTTGCGACCTATTTAAAGGCCTGCTACAGCTACGCTTCAGTCTTATATCCAACCTTCGTACTCTTTTTCTCTATCTGTGGTAATTACTCCATGATATGAAAGAAGACATATCTCTGTTGAACAGTGTAGCTTAAGTCTTGCATCTGCTCAAGTATAACTTGAATCACCCTGTGGGGGTCGAAGCTTTGCTGGCTACTTTGCTCGCAAAGCTTTGCCGTTGTTGTCTTAAGCTTTTCCGCTCTTATCAAACTCCGGTTTGCGTACGCGCTATGCTTACAAAAAAGCTTAAGTCTTAACATAACCGCAAAGCTTTCAACTTAAGCAAAATAACTTCGAGTATAAGTCTGCGTTTCTTATAGCACAAAGCTTTGGCACTTGCTATAAATTTATAAATTTAATTTTCAAATTTCAAAATTTACTGTTACCATTCGTAAGCAAATCGCTTGGAAATTCGTGGTTCAGTGAATTAATTTAAATTATACAAAGTAATTTATTGATTTGATTTCAATAATTGTGCGGTAATTAACTGGCCATAACTGAAAAGCTGAATAGAAGGAAATGTTTAATGATACGAAATGTTTTTATTTATTGTATTTTGGTATGTTTATTTTTTTATTTTATTTTTTTTTTTTATTATTGATAATTCAATAAGATAATTACATTAATTAGCCTTTTCATGCCATAAAACGTGCACATCTATATTACAGAAATACATAGAAATATTTGTATTGATAGTATTATTTAAAGACTAATTCAATAATTTATCATTTAACGCTAGTTAATTGATTTCATGAGACTATTAATTGGAGTAAATGGCTTAATGCGCTTACAAATAGTTAGATGGGCAAAAAATAACAAATGAAATGCAAATGTAGCGAGTGTATGGAAATAACAGTTATTTCTAAACGGATTCCAATACTTTTTTACTATCGAATATTTATGTATATATATAGTACATTTGTGACTTTTATCCTTTTGGCAGGATATTGAAATTGATTATTTCAATTTCATATGCTATTCAGGGCTTAGCACTTTGTGTTTCTCCTGTGTCTCTGCGCGATCCCGTGGCCCCCACACTCTGACAATAGTCTCTATAATAATACTGTACATGGCTTGCAGCTAGGAATACTACACACACACACTCACACATTCTACTCTATAGACTTATGTAAACACATTGTTCGGTGCGCGCATTCTACAACAACAACATTCAGTTTGCAATCACAATTCATTATTTCGAAATCACAGAGAAATACGCCGTATTTGCGGCGTATTTAGAGGGGCTGCCACAAGGATTCGCTTACGGGCTCCGAGCCGCTGCCGCCGCCACCCGCTGCCGGCTGCTGCACCCGGGATACTTCACTGAGTATGCAGGTTCCGTCACATTCTGTCCGACTACCGAATTCCTGTTCACAAATGCAACTAAAACTTTCTCGGGATGCGGACTTAAACAGCGCCAGCTGCACGCCTGCTCCATTCGCTGCGCCGCCGCCCATGCTGGACGGCAGCTCCTCGCTGGTAGAGGGCAGCTCCATCAGTGCCAGATCATCCTCGCACTCAACCACATTCGGATGCAGCGGTTTGAAGTGATTACGTCGCCAGGGGCCCATTGTCGTTTCGCTGCCCGCAAATGTCACCACAGTTTGATGGCCATTGTTGTTGTAGCTACTGGTGCTGCCGCCACCGGCCCCTCCCCCGCCGTTAGCATTGCCATGCCCCTGCCCATGGCCGTTGCCATTGAAATTGGCCTGATAAGCAGTTCGGGCGAAGCTCATGCCGCCCTTGCCATTGCCGCCAGCATTCCGTGCGCCAAAGAAATTGCTGCGTATGCGCATCGATGAGTTGGCGTAGGTGGAGCGGATGGAGCTGGCACGCGTGTGCATCGAAAAGGTGCGCTCATGCGGCTCCAGGCTGGTCTTGAATTTGCAGAAGCACGCCGAAAAGCGCTTGTTAAATTCCCGTTTGAATTTTTCCTGTAAATAAAGGGGGCAACATGAAAATAATTGTTCTGCTGGTATTTTTTAATAAACAAAATTTTAGAACATAAGCCAGAGTCAGCAAATTTTGTAATTTTCAAAGTTAAATTCAGTTGTTATAAAAATAAATAACATTTAAAAATTAAATTGTTTTTTTTTTTTAGAAACTCTATTTTGTTTTTAATTAATTTGTATTTTTTATTTTCCATATATTTGTTTTCCATATTTAAAGTATTTTTGTTATTATTTTATATATATAGGTTTTTAGCTCAGAATCTAATAAAAACAAAAACAAAAAAATATTAAAAACATAAATTTCATATTTAAATTTTCCACTCTCCCGTTACAAATTATACAGCCAAATGACTCGTAAATTTCACTTTTTAGTAGTCGAAATGTATTCCAAATTCTGAGAATGGGTTTTACCTGTCGCTTCCACGAATACCATAATTTGAGCACCAAAACACGGCTCAATCATAAAATTACTTATTATTATTTCGCCCAGATTTGATTGCTCATGGTGTGCCAGCTGGCTTTTATGAAGCAGCCGCTCTAACCTCTGTTCCATTGCCTAATTTGCAAGACTTGTCTCCTGCTCAGCGCCTTGACACTCTCCCTTTTCGGAAGTTGTCTAAAAAGTTTTGCCTCAAGTGAACACACACGTGAACAACAAACAAGCCCAAGTAGAGCCAAAACTTGTTGGGCACATTTGCTTGCTTGTTGCCTGCTCTATTGATTTTCAGTCACGTCCCCAAACCCACTTCACTAAATAAATAAAATATTTGCTTATTTTCGAGAGATTTGCCTTATTTGTGCGTCTGCCAGGATAGTCTTAGGTGTTTTTTATGTTTTTCCCTGAGAAACGTTTCATTAATTAAATTGTGTGGGCAGAGCTTATACGCTCCAAAGCAAAAGTGGCATTGTTTTCTAATTTCCTAGAAAATAAACATTTGTCATTTAAGCTGAGGTTGTCTTGGCTCTTGAAATACCAAAAACAGCTAACTTAATTTAACTAAATGCTAAATTGAAGTGATATTTAGCTGTCATCGTAGTTTATAGCTGACATTCACTTTGCCTCATCGATTGCCTAAGCCTATAGGCTTATGGACAATCAGAGAGAAAAGCACTTAGTACTCACATTGTAGATGCCGTATATGAAGGGATTGTAGCAGCTGTTGCTCATGGCCAGCCAGTCGCAGCAGAACCAGACGATGCTAATGAAGTGATAGTCATTGATTTCCGGTATTGTGACATATAATATATTATAGAGCTGCAGGGGCAGCCAGCACAGTCCGAAGATAACCACGACGATAATCAGCATTTTAATGACCTGTAATTGTAAATTGCATAAGCTTACATTCATAATCAACTGGAGTGTGCTCTCCCCTCTACTCCTCTGACCTTTTTTTTGTTCTTCAGCAGCGTTATGTCACGCGAGTCCTGTGCGTTGCCAGGCGCGTGTGTGCCCCACAGGCGAACCGCCATTTGTATGTAAACGAAACTAATCACGCAAAACGGCACCAGATACTGCACAAAGACCAGAGCATATCGATAGGCCTTCAGCTGCTCGTCAGACAGGTTCTTGTTCATGCAGAACGGCCGAGTCAAATTGAAGTACACGTCGTTCTCTGCCAAACGGAAATCACACGGAATATGTTTAGTTTAATTAAGATGTTACAGGCTCTGCGAATACTTCTGTTCACATACCACGAAAACGGTCCGTGATCTCCTCCACACGGAACGCGATGGGGAACGGCGCGGCGAAGAGCAGCGCCAGCAGCCAAATGCCTCCAATTATGAATTTCGATATGAACTTGCTGGGACGTGCGCTGCTCAAATGCGAAAACATGTTTTTATTTTCATAAGTTAGAGTGCTCCAGTGCGGGCATGCCAGACTACGGGATGTCCCTGAATATGCAGATGAGCTGCTGCTGCTGCTATCTCAAAAGGTACGCAACTTTTTTTTATACAAACTTGGAAAATGCTAAACATGCTTTACCGTATTCTTGATAATATTTTCTTAACAGTTGAATTGCTCCCTAGATTAGTTGTGCACCTGAGCTGCCTCTAGGCTTGACTATAATTTTAAAATTTGATTTTACATTACGTATTTTTCGTAAGGCGGCACAGTCGTGGCTCATTTTCTCTATCGTCTGCAGGCCATAGTCAAGGTAAAAGGCGGACATATCTAGCTAAAGTTTCTTAAGTGATTGACTATTTTCACAAAAACCATTGTAAAAAAAAAAAAAAAAAAAAATCAGTTTCCATGACGAATTTATGAACTTTTTAATAAGCCACACTTCGCATGCCCTGAATAAAAAAAATCTTTATGACTCTAAAAATATTTTCGTATAGCATTTAAACAAATTTGTTTATATGAATTCCTGGCATTTGCTTATTTCTGGTGATATTTGGCTGCATATAGTTAACTAATACTGACTAACTGAGGAAGACTTTATCTAAAGCACGTAAATCTATCAATTATCTATAAACATTCGTATGCTCTTATCTAATATAAGCTACGAGTTTCAGTTCCTTTCAATACAGCCCATACAACCACATTAAATTAAACACGCAGCAGTTATGAACCCATCTGTCTTACCGTAATGGATTAATTATGGCCCGATGTCGATCGATGGCAATCGCAGTTAATGTGAACACGGAGACGTTCACGCTGAGCGCCTGCACGAACGGGCAGAAGCCGCACATGAAATACGGCAGATTCCAGCGTTGGAGCAGCGCAGCTTGGAACTGAAATAAGCGAAGGACATAAAATATTCAATATGTTATTAAGCCAATTGGGCCTATTAAAATAGCCAGCAGACGGTAAAAATATCATAATTGAAGCACTGGTCGAGCATGTCCGAGAATAAACAATTAAAATGCGTGCATTCATGTCCTGATTACTTTGCTTTGTAATGTGTCTGTCTGTCTGGCTGTCTGTCTGTCTGACTGTCTGTCTGACTGTCTGGCTTTGCCCAAGCAATTAAATCCATATAATATAGGTCTTACAGTTTGGTAAGCAAATGACAGCGGCTGACATTTAAGTGGTCATGTAAGAAAAACATACTGCAATATTTATATATATGTATGTATATGTGGGTGTATGTGTGTGTGTCGTGAAGATTAAGTGTCTGTCAGCTTAATTGAAAACATTTGGATGAAACGCAGAAGAATGAGATGCAATTTATTTAGGTAGATCTGTCAAGTTGTTCGCTTTTTGCATGTAATTACAAATCGGACGCGGGAGAACAATTAAATTATTTAAGGCAATCCTTGGCTTTGATACTAAAATGGCCGACAGAATTTTCTCTTCCGACTACTTAACATAAATTTAATTGCGAAATAATTGGCCGGAAATTGAGTTATGCTTAGGATTTTCAAGCAAATTGTGTCTGGACACGAAATGCTAATTCCATTATGACTGGATACAAAACTGTTTATTCCATTATACAAAGTATATTTTTGGGCGAGGGGGGAGGAGGAAATGGACTGGCAGTTGGTTTCGTGCGAAACTGTCAAAATTCTAATCTCAATAATGTTGAAGCGGCGTGTTTAAGCGCCGGAAATTAAATTGATGTTCGATTATAGTGAAATCGATGTTTGCGGCTGCGTGGGGTCATAAAGGGAATATTAACGCAGCAGCAGCAGCAGCAGCAGCAATCGAAAATGAAACTGGAAACTGGGCTAATGCTATTAAACTGATTTATGTGCACAAAGTGTTAACAGCCAGTCGAAAATCAGCGAAACTCAATTTATTTAGCATCTCTGCATGGGTATGCATTGCGTATACGCAATGTTTAATTAATGCCACGCAACATTTAAAACTGCAATGGCCATAATGAAAATGGTTGCCGGCCATGGCTAATTGGCCAACGCGTCCGGTCTGAAAAGGTAGCCATTGTCGGTCAATATTTGCATAATTAGAATACACGAAATGTATTTGCATGTGTGTGTGTGTGGGGGGTAAAATTAATTTGCAAACTGCATTTACCTGGAACTCACCTGAAACGGTATGCTGAATAGTCCAATAATGACATCCGCAAACGCCAAATTCGCAATGTACATATTGGTGACGGTGCGCATTTGTCGAGTGGTTGCCACCACCCAAATAACCAGCGTGTTGCCAATCACGGCTAAAATGCTAATGCCGCCATAGAAGATGGAGAGTAGAGCCACAATTTCCGCGGGCGCCGCATAAAGACGTTCTGTGGCCAAGGGCAAAAGCGAAACACAAAATGAAAAATGAGAAGTGCGAAAGCGAACGCGAACGTGAAAGAGGGAGAAGAAGGAAAACGCATAAGGAAAATGTGAACAGCAGCGGGTTATCCTCTTATCAGCAGCAGTCATCAATTTAATTATGGAACTGCTCCATCGATTGGCACTTGCAGGAGAAGAGCTCATCAGCACTTCAATAATGGAAATGAATTCGATTTGGAGCAGGCTTAGGGAATCGTGAGTGATGTTTAAAGAGCGATTACTGGCTTACTGCAAAGACCAAAGGTCAAAGGCCAATGTATCTAAGCAACAGCAAAATAAGAAAAAAACAGAAACAAACTTGTCATAATTTGATAAATGAGCAAAGCTCACGAACTCCAACATATAGCCATTAGTAAGCTCCTTCCAAAATATGAAAACAAACCAAAAGTAATGCGAGAAAAATCTTGGAGTTAACACTTACCGAATTCCGCCTCCTCCTCGGCGCCTGGCAGCAGCTCCTCATGCACATGCTGATCGTATATTATATCTGATTCCATTTTATTATTATTTCCCGGGACTCTCTGCCAGACAAAGTGCTGCCAATTTGCAAAAGCTTGGCGAGTTTTCCGCTAAGCCAACCGAAATTTATGTGGCACAATGCATTTTATTGTCCTCGCTGTTGCCTGCGCATATAAAAAAGTTTGAATGGACAAATTATTTGACACTTGCAGAGAAGTTTTGCCAGCCATGAATGAATTGCAATAGGAATGCGAAAACTCAAGCGACAGCCAGCTTGAAGTTTACACAACGTTGAAATGAAAAGCAAACAAATACACAAATCAACACAAATCAACTTAAAATAAATCAAATTAAACATCAGCCGGCAGAAAGAAAACGGCTAAGCAAACGTTATTGGGCTCCTCCATATCCTTCATGCAGGAGCTGCTGAGCCGCAGGGGGAGTCATATATCCGGGCTGCTTCGCATGCCTTACGGTCGGCTGTCAGCTCAGGCGCAAACATGTTTATTTTGCATAATTGAAATGACTGCAGCGAGCTCTTCGCCTTAACCTGTGTTGGGAAGTTCTAAGTGCGCTCCAGGTGCAGTCCAGTGGATTCAAAAACATTTTGCTAACCGACAGCTCAGGTCAGTTGACACTGATGGCCATTAAAAGCTGTTGACGCTTCTCGTGACTTGACTGACTTCTAATAAAATTTGGCAATGTTTTGCCACACACACACACACACATACACACACACACGCACAAACAAAGCAGCTCGAATGGACCCCAGAGCAAATCTGTTGCCTTTTTTGTCAAGCAAAATATTTATACATAATATATGCATATATATATAGCAATATAAACTTCTTACTTTACCTTGCATGCTTCAAACAAAATTTGTGTGTGTGTGTGTGTGTGTGGTTATTCTGGGTTCACTGTAAAAATTTTGCTTGTAATTTTAATGAAAACATATAAACTCCATTTTGTTACGGTGTGTTACTCCCACACATGCATTTGCATATACATGTGTGTGTGTGTGGGTGTGGGTGTGGGTGTGCGTGCGTGTGTGTGTGGTTAGCAAAATCTGAGCGTAATTTGACTGAAGAACCGCATTCACTAAGTTGATTCTGTAGCTTTGATTCCGGGAAATGTTGTGCTTTGCCCACAGATCATACGGCACATAACTGGGATTCACTTGGACTCAGGGATTGGCCCTAAGGACAGTTCGGCCCGAAATTGATTAAATGTAAGCGTAACCCTAAAATCTCTCACATTTCCTTTGACTTTTCCAGCTATTCGCACAATGCAGCCGAGCCTTCTTATTGTCAACAGCTCAGCTGAGTGCTCCTCAGCAAGTTGCGTGTGTGTTCACCCCTCCCTCCGCTTCCCTCTCTCACGTTGGCAGTCTGAAGGTGTTGCACAACAATGAATGGTTTATAAGGAGCTAACTCATTTAACTCGATACAGCATTTTATCAGCACAAGGTGAACGCAGCCCCAAGCACTATGTACGCGTGTGTGTATTTGTGTGTGCGTGTGTGTGTGTGTGTGTATGTGTGTGTTGGTTTGCGTGTGCTTTGATCCCTGCCTCTTGCTGCTGGCCATAAAATTTCATTACGCCTGCTGTTAGGCATCTCACATTTTTAAAGTCAAACAGTGTTATATATGTTACACTGAAAACGTGGCTTTAAGTTCACATTTTGTTTAGCATTATCGCATTATGTAATCAATTAGGTATACTATAGAAAGCAGCTTAAATTAGTCAAAAATTAAGTAAGCGAAATGCTTCGCTGCCAAAACATATTAATTAATCTAACATAAAATGTTGCCTGCCTCATGGATATAAATTCGTATTATAGACCACCAGCCAGGCCTCCCATAATCATTTGCCGAGTCCGGCTTATGGGCATAAAACTCTGCGTGAAAAGTTGTTAAATGTAAAAGCGTAAAATGTTGTTCTTTTGCGCGCCTCAAAGGGCTTCCTGCCGCCAGCCAAGTGGAGGGTCCTTTCACTGGCGCCCCACGCAGAGGTAATTCCCTTCTCGTGCCCCTCGCCTCATGTATCACAATTTGGCAATGTAAATATTTGGAAAGCTTATAGAATATTATTGAATATCGCGATGTGAAACACGAGTATTCGTCGATATACTGATTTGGCACATCAAAGAACAAAAGTACGACATATATGGAGGCACGCATAAGTACTTGACGCATATCGAAATACCAGCGTATGTATCAAAAGAAAATATATTAATAATAAATGTTCCTATTTTCAATTTCTTTAAATAGCAAATGTTTAGTATACAACAACGAGCAACACAAAAGATTATCAAATAAAACTGAGCAGAGCAAGAGCAAGAGGAAGAGCAAGAGCAGATAGCACACTTCTAATGCTATTTCTGTGTAATATGCTTTGTGTACAGTAAAGGCCAACAAAAGAGTAAACCGACTTCGAAATTGGGCTGCATTTGCAGTAGACATTTTAGAAGCTCAGACAAAAGAGACAATGAGCGCAGACACAGAGGATGGAGAGCAGCGTTTAAAATATACATATACCAATTTACAGAAGGAGACAAATCTATAAGTGAGTTCAACAGCTCAAACCAGCTCAGTTGAGCAAAATCGTTCCCAGAATGTGCCCAGCAGGCCTTTGAGCTATCAAAAGCGTTCGAATGCAAACAGTTAGTGCCTCGTTTATCTCACTCTCTCATTTGCTCCTTCTCTTTCACTTATTTCACTTTCATTGTGTGTTATTGTCAGCTCCCGGGGCCCTCTTGAGCCACTTCTATTACAGCCTGTCATATTTGCGGTAGAGCTCGGCTTTTGTAAATGCACAGCGAAGTCTTTAAGCTGACAACTTGATCTTTTTGCAGCTGAGTCAAGATTTTCGCATTGTGACACTGTATATTGAGTATGAATTAAGCACTGTTCAACTTTAAAAGTAGAAACCATTAGCAATTGCATTTTAAATGTCTGTCCCTTAAGAGCCACTCAAAAATTGTTTGTCTCTTTGAATTCAATTTCAAGATGCCAAAAAATGAATTAATATAAAGCAGCTTCACCCCCAGAGCTCTTTTAGCTTCTCATTAAAATGTTAAATTTCATCATGGGGCAAAGTTATGAGACGCTAGACTGCGGCTCATTACCAAGGCAATTTGCTGTTCCTTTCTTGGCCTATGGAGAAAACTTTAAACTGCCTTCTCTTCCTGAATGTGTGCTAAGGTTATCAAAGTGAAACGGCATCAAATATGTTGAGGGTATTTAAGTACACAAAGCGGGCTTTCTGAGCCCAGCTCGACCGTCATATAAGCATGCTGGGAAATAAAAACTAAAACAGAGGCAAAAGTCCAATCAAAGTGTTCCCAAAAACCCAAAAAAAAAAACCAAAAGCAAAGCAAAGGAAAAGAACATAAGGATAAGCAAACTCGTGTTACCCGGAGGACATCACAGGCGGCATGGGCTTAATATTTCGGCCCACGAATGTGAGGAAATGGCGGGGGGAAGCGTGCGTGATGTGTGCATTAAATGTAATTGTAATAAATGCGTATGTTACCCGATTGTGCTGTATATTGTCGTGTCTGGCAGTTGTTGGGACTAAGCCCTAAGATTCTAATAACTGTTTCTTCTTTATCTAATAATATAATTTTGATTTCGCCCAAAGTCGCACAAGCGTGACAAAATGTAATTAGCCGCTGGCCAACCGCACAATCCTTTCAGCAGCTGGCAGAACTTTAACAAACTCTTTGTATTCCCTTCCACAGGTATTTCCGTATCGAATGGCCGACCAAACCGCGCGACTGTGCGTTATCAACTGTGCCACGGAGCTCGTCTTTGGCCTTTATCAAGCGAAGGCAGTCAAAGAAGCTCCTCAGCTGCCGCCACCCACAGCAAAACACAACATGTTGCAAGGCAACTTGTTTGCTCTGCTCGAACATGTTGCAAGCGCCAAGAATTTCAATTTTTTACGCTCGCTGCCGGAATGTAGTCTGAGTGGAATGCACCCTTGTCTAATATAGTGGCAGTATATTTTTAGAACATGCCAAATGTGAGCGAAATTATTTGATTTTAGGTATAGTCTATGACTAGTTAACAGAAGGAGGTAGAGAGATACTAATCTTATGGAAAGAAATGTAAACTCTTAAGACTTTTTCATTTTGAGTTATTGCGCTATAATCCGCATAGATCTCCCCTGGCTCTGCTCTTTGGACGTGTATTATGCAGCTGTTTGCGCCCGATTATAATATTTTTTACCTGTGTTTTTTTAATCGCCCGCGAAAGGAAACATTTCTGACATTCCTCAAACAGTGACCCAAGCAAAGTTTAAGTAATAATAAGCTACCTAAAAAAATCATGAATTTGTAATTATTCTTGGCATGCAAATGGTGCTGCGCGACTGTGGGGCACTGCTTCAGGGGAATTAAGGTCAAAGGTTAAGTAAAAATTGATGACTGCACGAGCACTCAAATATTTTTAATAAAGTCTATAAATATAATCAGACATTAATTTAATCTACAAGAGGCACTAAATTAGATACGATTTCTCGATAAATCGGCAAGTAGTCCAAATGGCATGAACACTTTGATAAGTGTTTTCAGCTTTGAATTTCAAATGGCTCAAGTCTTTTTTCCGACTAAAACTGGCAAAAGCCGTCGAGAGCATTGATTTCAACTCAAGAACTACTTAACGAATAACAATGATTCATACGATAATTTTCTGTTTAAGCAATCGAATAATAATCTCTTACTCTCGCTGCATGGCTTAACTGATTCGCTGTGCCCTGGGGCTTAGCATGTGCATATTATGTATAACTAAGGATTAGGTACTCTACCTTGTCAAAGACTCAGACGCAACTGCAGCAGCCGTTGCGTGAGGGATTAAAGATATCGACTAGCTGAAACTAGTCTGTAAAAAGTCAACGAAACTTTAAGCAAATCAAATCACAATACGCAAACTCATGGCATATAAATGAAGCCTTGGGCTTCAATCAGCAGCAGCTGTAAGTTTTCTCACGGAAGGTTTCATGTGATTAAAGGGAAATGTAAATTGCCCAACAAATATTGAGATTCATTTCTATTCAAATGTTTGCCTGCCTAGTTATCAGATTTCATGCTGACTGCTAAGATGCGTTAAAATTTAATTAATGTGCTCAATATATATTTAAGCTTAGCAGCAGTAGCTTTGTGGCACGCACAATGCGTCGTATGCGTAATCTGCTTTGTGAAACTGCACTTCGCCAGAGTTTTGCAAAAGCCCTTCACACACATGCCAACAAATGAAAATTTTGTTTGTGGTTTTAGCCAATTTGAAACTCGGAGAAAACTGTCTGGCATAATAAAATAATTTAAGTGAATTAAATTGCATAAAACAGACTTTGACTGTAAAAGAACCTGCGCAAATTAAATTAAGCAGCATATTTGAAGAGCTTAGCACATACAATGACACTGAATCTAGACACTACATTCATCACACACACACACACACACACACATATATACACAAATACTCACAAACGAAACGGTTCAGAGACAAACCTAATAAATATTTAATGCAACCACTAATTGTTACTGGACCACATTCCGTTCTGTTGCGATAGCAATCGTGTAATCTGAGCACCGTAATAAATACATATTTACATAGTTGCCGGGCAGTTCGTCCACGTCTGAGCAGACAAATTTTGACTAGAGGTCAAAGGTGGTTTCTATTACAAATGCTGTATTCGAATGAAGCAAACTAAATGGCATTAAATGTCTGAAAGTAGAGCGAGAATCAATGGAGCTGCCGCTCAGAACAACATAATAGCTTTCTCTCGTTTGATGCGATCTGATTGAATACTAATAAAATACAAAATATTTCTCTGAAGTCTGCTTGATTTGAATATAATTTGAATGTTTCGCTACATAATTGTTATTTCTGAGAATTATTCCAGCTACCTCTGTTTGCTACATGAAAGCCAAATTCTACTCGTTGCCAAACCAACGGAGCTGCAAATATTATCAATATTTCATTTGCATTTTTTGCATTAATAGTTTCCCCAAAAGCAACGCTATATCAATTAGCTTTGCTACTCAATATATATAGGAAAATAAAATAACAAAATTCACAAACATTTTTCATTCAAATATGCCAAAGTCAAATAACTTTCATCATTTTGCTGATAGCTTAAAAATTTGCTGCAAATAGAAATGCGAAATTAATGCAGAATGCGAATAAAATAACTATAACGAGTAGCAGATACTGTGTAGGGACACTACTTACTGAAGACAGAGATAGAGATGGAGAGAGAGTGTGAGGGAGAGAGTTTAGTAGAATAAAAATTGCTTATCTCTTTCTGTTTGCATTCAACAGATCCCATTCCCTTGATATCCTTGCAAAACGAACCACTGTATCTATAGGGTATATTCAAGTCAAATTGCGCATAAACTTGAAGACATATGCAAAATCCCCCCGGACGTGCACAGCTCTTTAGCATATTCATAGTCGCAGCTGTAGCCGAGAAACAGTTATATTGCTTTAATTGGATTTTCTCCTTACGAATATTTGCAGAAGAAAATGCCGAAAATTACAGATTCAACAAGCCGAAACAAGTGGAAACATTTATTTGCTTGAGTTAACGATTTGCCTTTCTGATATTACAAATTCAATAAACTCATATTCAAGCGTGCACATGAACTGAGCTTCAGGCTTTTGGCCTTTTAGACTTTCTGGCAGGAATTTTAGGAGGCGTAAAAGCAAAAGTTGGCTAATTAATCTTCTTAATGGCTGAGCCAACTTTTTAAATCGTATTACCGATTCGTAATCCGATCTTTTTCGGTTTTCCCTTTAACAATGACATTGTTCAAGGATTCGCAGCACAAACTGCACCTTCACAATTTCATTAAAAGCAGCTTATACGCCGTCCAATTTGCATGAAGGTGAAAGGAAGTCTCCGTCTATTGACCACAAGTGGGAGAAAAAATGCACAACAATTTTTAAAGCATTTTCTTTAAAAAAAAAAAAAAAAAAAAAAAAAAAAAAAAAAACTTTTTTAAGTGCTTCTACGTCTGCCAAGGACACTTTCCAGTAAAGCCAAAAGTCTGCCTAAATTTCGCTTTCATTTTCATTTTAATTTTTCTGCGAAATTAGGTCTTAAATGTATGCAATATATTTATATATAATTTATTGCTGCGCATTTAGGAAATTTACCGTTGCTTGCTGCATTTATTAGTAGAGCTAAAAGCTTTTCTAATTTATTATATACATTTTTCATTTTATTTGTGCACTTTTGCTTACTTATCCTCATATATTATTTATTTGAGCAATTTTTAAACATTTTCTATGGTTTAGAGTTCGTCTAGTACATTTACTAGTAAGCGTAAAAGTTTTCCCTAATTGAATTCTACATTTTCTATTAACTTGTTCGTAGTTAAGCTCACCCCACATGAAATATGCATGCCTGAAATTTTATATTTTACACCTCAAGTAGAACACTTAAAGCACTTATTGCTTGCAGCTCGCCTCTAATAGCTTATGAGCAGCAATTAAAGTGATTCAGCATATATGCCCACACGAAGGTAAAAGTTTTCATTAATTTCATTTTAATTTCTTTTTTTTTTTTATCAACTTTTTGCTGTTATTCCTGAAACGCGAAAGTTGGCTCATATGCGAAGAGCATGTCTTTAAATGCGTTAAATGCTGAAATGCAGCCCGAATAAGTAGGCTATGAATATATTTAAATTATTTATCCTGTACTCCATAGTGCATTTGGTAGTATGAAAATTAGCTAAATTCCTTTATTATCTTAATATTTACTCCTTATACATTTTAGGAACTTCATGCATGAAAATATTTGCATACCCAAGTGCACTATGAACATTTTAAGCAGTTCGCTAAGCCAGTCATAATTCTTAGAATTTTAACTCTTCTCACGACTCACTTCAAGTTACTTCAATGATTAATTATCCCAAGGAAGTCAAGGCCAAGTATGCCTGAGTATTTCTTAGGTGGAATATCGCTTACACAAATTAATTGTTTCCACGAATTTTAGGACTACTCTGAATTTATATCCATCTAAATTGAAGTTGATTTGTTCGAATTGCCTTTCGACTTTTAAAGATTGCCTCAAAGGTAATCCCTAAACATTAATTCAATGGTCTACAACGCTTCAAGCTACTTTTAATTATTTGTTTTGATATTTTAACGAGCTTAATTAGGCATCAGTCAATAATAATAAATAAACAATTGATGCTTTAGGCTGAGTGATAGGACAATATTTCAAACTGTGCTCAATACGAATTGGCTTACAAATGATGTATGACGAAAAAAAAAACGGCAAAAGCCACAAATTTCACGCCTTGTTCTACAATTTAATGGCTCAATAAACGCATTTCCTTTTGAGCTCTATGTGGAGCGTAGCTGGACGCCATGCTCATAGCGCATAATTACAGTTTTTTGAGCGTACACTCTCATAGTAATTATCCCTCTTTCTTATACTCTACTCCACTTCACGCTTGGCTGGCCTTTTAGTTTTATAGTTTAACTGCTAGAAGGGTGTAGCAACACGTTGCACAAACGACTGCAACAATGGCGAGCTGTTGACGTAATAAAATCTAAAATTTAAAGCCAATCAGGTGAGAATTTTGCAAACGGCCATATGCGATAGCATAATACTCGTTTAAGTTTTGATAGGAGATGAATTTTATAATACAAATGCAGTGCTGATACCGGCTCTTAAGGCAGGAGAATGCACGCAGTTTTCTTTCTGATTTAAAATTCTACTTATACTGAAAGTACATAAAAACTTGTCAAATTATAAAGCTCTAGCTCTAAATCTGTCTGTAGACGAGGCTACTCATAGGAGCAATAATTTCATTCAGAGTGCAAAACCCAATATACTCCACTCAGTTCATGCACGGGCATAGAAAAAAACAACAAATTTCCCCTTTGTTGTGGCATGTATTGATTTTGTTACAGCTGTATATGCTCCACTCTTTGCCCTTACGAATCCGAAATGTTTTCAAAATGGAAAATGATTTGTTTGCAAATGTTCGTTATCAATTAAATAAATAACAATAAGTATTAACCTTTAATTTAAATATTTTGCATATAATTGAGTGCACTTTCGGCACTTGACTTTGCCATGTTTTCATTAAACAGTTTGTTTATATTTCCGCAGATCAAAACAAAATCTTGAACAAAATATTTATTAAATTCCGCGAAAAAAATCAAACCACAAATTGGTATCCGCAATAAAGTGCCTAAGTATTCTGAATAAAGTAAACAATGACAAAACATGCCATGCCCTATGTTGATTTTCTCTTTTACTAGGAATACATATGAATAGCTGAATGCCCCCCGCAAGGCACGCAACTGCTGCAAATTCATTGATAAATATTTCAGTGGAATCAATTTTCTCATCCATCGGTTAATTGTCGAACGCAATGAGAATTTTATGTGTTTTAAATGATATGTTTTTATTATTTTTGTTGTTGTAATTGATATGTTCATTTTGCTGTGTCCGATATGTGATCGGAATACTCAACCAAATGACGAGCTGTCCGAGTATGTTTAGTATGCGACATGGCGCATTAGATAAACACAGCGCGCAAATGCATTTAATACTCTTAATTGTAATGAAAATTAATTTGCATTGAAATACACTTTGATGCCAACAACGGAAATGCATACAACTTTTTTTTTAAGTTTTTCTATTTTTTTGCTAAACTTTTTATTCGTTTTATGTTTTTGTTATTATTTTATTATTAGTTAGTGAAACGCCGGCAAATAATTTCCAGTTTATGGCGTGAAATATTAATTTGCAACTTACCCAGAAATTAATTACTGCCAGGGTTTTAATTTATACGAAGTATTATCACAACAAAAATAACAATAATAATAATCAAACTAATATTCTTTTGCTGCAGGCCAAATGCAATTAGCTTTTGGTTTGTATTTACGCAATTTTCGTTATAGATTTGGTTGATAATCAAGCGTCACACTATCACACATTTACTAATTTTAAGCGTGTCTGTCTCTATATATTTGATGTTATTTTTTTTAGGACTCAGTTCTATGCAAATTGAAGTCCAATGCCAAATGAATGGAAAAACAGAACAGCGACACAATAATTCACTTAGATCAAGAAACGTGATGCCTCGTTTTTATCTGTTTCGATATTCTGTTGATGTGTTACAATTTATATATTTTTTTTTATTTTTATTTTTATTTTTTTTATTTTTATATATAATAAATACACGCAACTGTCAGCTCGAGCGATCGCAGCGGAGCAACCGAGCAACCGCACAATGAAAGCGCACAGAAGCAACTGATGGCTGCGTAGCCGTTTTTTGGGCCGGCAGAAGCGTATGCGCTTCTATTGATTCCTCGCACACAAGCATAAACAAAGGCTGGCGCGCGCGCACACACAGACGCCGGCAGCAGCAGCAGCAGCAGCAGCGGCGGAGCAAAGCAAGAATACGCATACGTCATGTGGTACAAGCAAAAGGCAAGCAAGCACAAGCAGGTGCAGCGATATCTTAATCAATTTTCGTAATGAACACCAATAAAAATCAGATAGCGGTAAACAACAACAGCAACGTCAAGAATCACAGCTAGGAAGCTGGGCGTGTCTCTGCTTTATATCAATCCGAAAATCGTGCGAAAGTCGTATTCATTTATTTATCTGCGCCAAGCACCTACCCACTTTTTATGTTCATGTTGTCAGCTTTGATTGCCACCCCAAAACAGAAAAAAAAAAATGATAGACAACAACAAGAACAACAACAAAAGCAATGACAGCAATAAAATTGTGTTTATCATATATCAATGCAATCATTCGTATATCGAATAATTGAAGATAAATGCCTCAGTGATAAGTAATTCATAGATATCGTGAATTAGCTTGTGCTGTACACGGAATATTTTATTTTAATTAGACTGTAGCCCGGTCAATCGACCAAAGATTTCAATGTTATCTGCGCGAAAGAATATCAAGTAAACATTAATTTATCTTTATGTTGGGTAATTAAATGAGCGAACTACATCTATATGTTTATACACTGATAAAAATGGGTCAACACTCACATGTTAAAAGATTTTAGAAAAACCAACTACCCAACTTCTCATACCCGTAGTCGGGATGAAATAAGTGAATGGGGTGTAATGGACTACCTAATGGCATAGATAAAATAATGTCTTTTAGGCAGTTAAGGCTCAGCGGCAACTGTCTTTATAAAGTATGGGGTATTAAGCAGTGGACTGAATATATGCTAGGGCTCTCGATGAACTCATATCATCAGCTAATATTTGCTGGGGATATCTTTAAGGTTATCTAGAATAATTAGAGGCAGCCAATACGACCTCAAAATTCAGTTATAGTATGTAAATATATGCTGTGTTGTATATTCTTAAGGTAGGTATTTGATAATATGCGAAATACCCTGTATGAAAAATTAGTATAAGTGTGCGTTGGTTTTAATTTTAGCATATTCATTTTTGTTTACTTAAAATACAATTAAAATGTTAATAAATGTAGTTAGATTATCTTTAGCTTTACCTCTATCTCTCTCTGTCTCGCGCTCTTTGTGTCTCTCTTTCTCAGTCTCGCTATTTTTCTCTCTATATATCGCTGCCTGTCTCTCTCTCTCTGCCTCTCTCTCTCTCTCTCTCTCTCTCTCTCTCTCTCTCTCTCTCTCTCTCTCTCTCTCTGTACCTCTGTTCCTCACTATCTCTATCTTTCACTCCCGCTCAGTGTCTTCCTTTCACCCTATATTAACTCACCACATAGAAAATGCTTCAACATTGTATAGAAGATATTTTAATACTCTTCACGCTCTCATTCTGTCTCTCACCCTCACCCTACCTCCCTCTCCCATTAAACTATAGAATACAGTTCACAGACATTCCGTACAATGCTCTCAATGGCCTCTCCGTCTACCTCTCTCTCTCTCTCTCTCTCTCTCTCCCTTCTCACTCATATCCTCCATCTCTATTCTTTTAACCCTCCCTAGGGTATTCCAATCATTCGATTATTAATTTGTTTTGTCGGCAATCAATAAGTGTTTCAATTGACAGCCTCACTCACTTTCATGTCTGATATCATTTATATTGATAGCTTTTTTAATGCTTGCAATGAAGCCGTCGACGCAAATTTATTAAATGAATTGTGATCAGCTGCTGATTAAAGCCATATCTAAATTCCATCATTTCGATGGCGTCACGCCTCATTTGAGTTACACAAATACGCCCATATTCACAAGACCAACAGCGATGGCCATAAATCTTTTAATATTTACCTGTCAATTTTATTAAATACAAGCTAATTAAGGTAACATTTAGTCCATAAGATTTACGCATTCAAGAATTCAGCGTTCAGCGTTTCGCACATTCAAAAAATAAATTTCGATATGTTTTGTCTGGAGCTTAAAGACTCTTTTGATAGGCAAATACCTGTTGGCCCAGGTGCTAAGTGCTTAAATTGAGTTCGATTTCTTTGTTTATCAACTTTAAATATGAGGCACTAAATATTGCCACGCTTGTAAGACAATTTCGTTTTCGATTTCTACCTGAGAATTTTAAAAGAAGAGAAAGACTTTAAAGGAAATCGAGATTTATTAACTTCAATGATTATGTTTTCGCATTTCCAGCATTTTTTTTATGTTATTTTCATTATTTTACTGCACTTTGATAGCTTCTGCTTTATCGATTGTTTTTCGCCGGTGAAGAGATTTTTTTGGCTGTGGCTTTGTTTGCCTCATTAGCGCTCGTTGTTCACTAAACGCATAAAATTTGAATGCAATTATCCATAAATTCTGCTTGAATGCAGCTGGCAGTTGATTCAATTCCTGCTAAGTCAAGACAATAAAAAGATTCATAAATATGATAATGATTGAAACCTTTTATAGTCTGTTGTTAGGGTCTTCGATAGATATTGATAGCGCATGTTAACTTGATGCAAATATGATTAGCTGTTGCCATGGTGAAATGCTGAACGGGTATTTGTATGCGTGTATGTGTGTGTGAGTGGGCTTCAGTGCATTTGTCTGCTTTGAAGAGGATTATTGTGTCTGCCTTTGTTATATGACAGGTATTAGTTGGATTTTGCGAAATGGTCACAACTCTAGCCGCATTTGCACCTATTTTAAATGATTTGCACTAAGAAGTTCAGGCACGTGGCCCTTACATAAATGTATATGAATAATATATACATATATAGACAACTCCATCACGCCCAGCTCGCGCAGGTGCTAATGAAGTTCGCATGCCATTTGATCAGCTGGCTATACGAAAATATGCACAGCCAGGCGACATCCACGACAGACAAAAGCGAGTTAAGCCAATTAAAAATCATATTTGATAGATAAATAAAAAAAATTAATTCAAGTCTGCCATAAATACAAATGTGTGAACAACTAATGAGAGAAAAATGCTCGACTCGCAGCTTGTCCTATATTCTCTATGGCCACTTGTTTATTTCTGCTACACTCAGCCATTCTCCATTCTCTATGGCTGTTCAACAGGTGACGAGAAGCACCTCAAAAGAAATTGTGCTTTGGGTCCACTTAAGACTGTCGAAAGACTCTTTGTTGCCAGCTTCAGCTATTTCCTTTCAAAACGTATTTAATAAATTTATGGGAGAAATTAATAAACTTCAGTTGTCATTAAACTGTCCAACTTCTGTCTAAATTCACACAATTAGCAAGTCAAGCAATATTTCAGGCAGACATCTGTCAGCAATCAGCATGTGTAATATGCCAAATAATTCATGCCATTTGATTGCTTTTACTGCTTAAAATGAAAATATTTCAGTTAGAGGTGTGAGTTGGGCAGGTCAGACTAGACGGGCTCCTGCTTTCAAATGCAAAAGGACAGAGGCGAGTGGGGCAGGCTAGACGTGGGAAGCCTCAAGGCAAATATTTATATATAGATATATGTATAAATATATTTTACAAGGAATTTTCATCTGTTTACATGTCAGAAGTATATATGCTCTTATCATAAAAATAAAACAAACTTAATTATAATTTACGCAAAAATTATTTAAATGATTATCAAAATTGTTCAAAATTCGAATGAGCATTTCCTGCATATCATGGATTCCTGCAAAGCATCTATATACATACCTTACTCGGAACTCACAATGGCTAACTGCTGCTTGTTGCATATTGTTTCCCTACGACCCTTAAGCGACTCCCATATGTTCCGGGTATAGACCAAATTTAAGGTTTCTTTTTGATATGGGTCACAACACAACTTCACAGTTTCAGGGGCAAATGTCTTGCATAATCTTATGACTGAGAAGGTCACAAACAATTTAATTTCCAATGAAATTCGAATTTGTTTGCTGCCTGACAAAGCAACAGCCATAAAGAAATATATTTTCTATCATTTTTTTTCTCTGTGCTTCCACCATGATAACAATCTTTTTCAAGAGCCCCCTCAATAGATGAATGTGTGAAATTCAAAACAGGGAAAGCCATAAAAAGCTTGGCCAAGACATTTTCATTTTGTTGAAGTGCCTGAACAGGCAGTCGTGAGATTTCTGAAATGTTGCAAAAAGTTCAAGATATTCGGTTGCAGTGGAAACTTTTGGCCGTGCAATTCCCGTGGCTAACCGAAAACGGTTCAGCCAGCATTAAAGTTCTGTCAACATTTAAGCGAAAAAGTTTCGATTCCCTTATGGCATTGAAATTAGAGTTGAGCAGTTTCGTTGGTGCTTGGCATAATTGAGCTAATAAGTGCAATTGCATTTCCGATGTGGCCTGGCTTACATTTACGAGGGCAGCACTAAAAATACCTATTTATTTGTATATGTATGTGTGTCAGGCAAATATTTGCAGCTGCTGGCTGGCTGGCTGAGCTAATAGATTGTTAATCCCGAATATGCATTGCAGTTTAATTAAAATGTTGTTAACATTAGATTTGGATGCGTTGCGTCGAGTTGCGGTGTTAATGCCGCTAGCCAAATAAATAATTCCAATTCTTTATCATTTTATTTACTTTACGCGCGCCACAGAGCACGCGCTCAGCGCTTTGTCAATGCTTTAATTATTTTTATTTGCCTTGAATGCTCCAGCCCAAAAAATATATGCATATATGAAAAACACATTTTCATTAACAACAACAAACAACAAGAATAATAAAAGAGCATAGCATCGACAGCATTTTGCTTAGTTCCATTTGATCATAATTTTAGTGAGCGATTTCGGCTCTTTTTATGGGCACATAAATGTTTTAAACAATCGTATGGTTTTTTTCCCTCTCTATGTCTTCTTCTTATTGTTGGCTTTGGCACATTACGTTTTTTATGAGCGCCAC